AGCTTCTTGCACCAACGACCAAGGCCAGAAGGCATGGGCTGCAAGGGAGATCCCCAAACACCAGCCAGCCCATGGGTGAGCTTTCTCTCGCCCTGGAACAGGCATCACCTGTTATAGATGCTCCCCCACCTCCTGGGTGCAGAGCCTTCTATGGCTTAAGGGTCAGGTCACTGCTACCAACACCGTGGTCTCATAGCAGTCGGCACTTAGACCTTCCCCTCAGGCCGAAGGTCATTGGTGACACAGAAGAGGGGACACTCTCCTCTTGTGTGGTTAAGTGAGGGGCCCAGACTCTGACCTTCCCAGCTGTCAGGATGGCCCATGACTCACCTCAGCCCTGCTGTTGTCTGAGTTCTGTCAGAGGTGCGGCATCTTCCCAGAAGATGGCACTCAGGCTCTCAGGGTGGGGTGGTCCCCAGTGGGCTTCGCCCAAGTACTCTCCGGGGAAACAAGGATGTTGGGTTTTTTGTATAGAAGTTACATCAGACACACACAGAGACAGAGGGAACCCACGGCTGCTATGTATCCCTTGGCGCTCTAAAGCGAGGGCCCCTGAAATGCACAGAACCATAGTGTGAACACTGAATCGGAGGGCAAGGAGCAGAGTCCCCATCCCAAAGTGGCTTTACCGCAAAGGAATTCAGTGCCATCTCTCAGTCAACAGAAGACTGGAGGCATGGCACCTCGGGGTCTTCCCCTGTGATACCCTGCAGCCTGTCCCAGGGCCAGAGAAAGCTCACCTTGGACAATCTCCCTGTTATTTCCATGGCTTTGCCCTTATCATCTCAGGGAAGCTGATGTTGCAGCATCATCACATCTCCATACAGTAAGGCCCAAGTATATAAAACAGCCGCATCAGGGGACCACTCCTCTGTGGAATAAGGCCTAAAACTGAGACCCAATATCATGTGCTGCCTTGACACCTGGTGAAGCCAGGAGGGATGGCGTCCTCCCCTCCTCACTCCAAGTCCTAGCCAAACAGCCCTCCTATCAAGGGAAGCTAGCACAGTTCCTGCCTATACCTGAGTATTGGGGCTTCAGTTCCAAGCGGGTGAATGGGAGGTGATTTATGCACCTTCCCCCACGCTGGAGACCTCTCTGACCAGGGTGAAAGCTCCATGAAGAGACTTTTTTCTGTCCAGTAGGAACTTCCCAGTGCCCACATAGTGCCAACATAAGAGTAGATGTTAAATGGATACTAGTGGAACTAATGTATGAATGAAGAGTGAACACATGAATTTCATAATTGGCTGAGTTGTGATTTGTGCCCAGGCCTGAATAACTGCAAATAGCTTTACCATGACTAACTTAGAGCAGCGTCTATCTACTGTGTGTGAGCACACAGGAGCCAGGGATGCTGGGCTATTCCCCCCTCAGCTCTGGAAGAGGTTCCAGTCGCCTGCACAGTTGTACAAAAGTTTTTTCAAAAATGCTCTTGACCCAGTTTTGAGGTCCTGGCTAGAGGCTGGTCAGTGCCCTCCTTGAGCAGCTGACTAAGCCCCACCCCAAACTCTTTCCTTATGTGGCTCTGACCCTGTCTATGAGCCCTAATCACCAGGGGCCAGGCAGCCAGGGACAGCCCCTGAGCTGTCCTTCTCAGAGCCCAGCAGCTATTCAGATCTGCCAGTCCACAGAGAGCTCAAGAAGCCTGGCTGACCCCACCCCACTTGTCTCACAGCTGCCCTGGCAGCTCTAGCTGCCTGCTACTCTGGTTTGGAGCTGCAAGTGACAGTCTGCCTTTCATCTCTCTGAGCGTCTTTGTGTTGCGTCCACCATCAGAGAAATGTTTACAGCTTATAGAACAATCGGTGCTGTGAGCAGGGCGGCGTGGCGTGGCCGTGACCGCTTGGTGGGGAGACAGCTCTCCGTTTATCAGTGGGTTCCAGACCACGGCTAGAGGGGCTTGCACAGTAGTTGTTAGCCGTGTGCTTGCTGTGTCTGCGTGCGGTTGCCTCTGTCTTCTTCCTCAAATTCCCTCAGTGTGGGAATATTCCAGGTGAATGGTGCTAACTGGGCAAACGCTGGGGACTGCGCACCAGCCCGAGCAGAGCCACTTTAAGGCAATAGGACAAGTCACTTAACTAACACTCTTCCAGGTCGGGCATTCCGATGTGTTTCCAGAACAGCCATTGTTTAGAAGAGGCCCATTCCAGGGGCTCAGACTTCTTCAGTGTCATTTCTCCTTATTGTTATTTGGAGCAGAACCCTGGTTTATCTGTTTCAGGTGAACCTCGTGTTGGCTGGGCTCTCCAGTGATAGAGAATAGGTACTGGTCTCACTGCCCATGTTGTTCATGTGGTGGTATTGGCCTACCTGTCTTCTTTGCAGGCGCATGCCTCGCTGCTGCCACCTGCGCAGCTCCTGCTCCGTAGGCGCTCAGGGGTATGGTGAGTTATATCCTACCCCCGCTCCCACAAACACCTGCACAAGAAGTTAATCAATTTGGAAAGTAATACAAAATTCCTAAGTTAGCACTCCACCTCCACCCCACACCTAATACGAAAAGGGCCTAAGACCTCAGGTGGGAGGCTAACGGCCTGTCCCAGGAGGGGCTGCTATCATTCTCCCAAGTGGGAACCCTGATCTCCGGGAGGGGGCAGCCCTGGAAGGAGAGGGATGGCTGCCGATGGGGCAGGGCCTCTGCTCCGCGCCGCTTTCCCTGTCGTCTCCTAGAAGGCCTCCACCGTGACCGTCAGAGACAAAAACTAAAACCCTGCCTTTAGGATTCTAGAAGCAACTCCTCTCCCCTAAGAAAAAGAAAGAAAGGAAATCTGGATACATGGGGAGATTAAAAATAACAAATTTATTAAAATATACCGAGTGGGACAAAAATAGGTTTATAGTTGTGAGTACATGAAGCACAAAGTTTATTCTTGTATTATTAATTGTTAATTATTGTGTTATTTTTCCATACAAACAACTGTAAACCGGCTTTTGCCCCATTCTGTACATATATACATACATATAAATTACATATTTATACATACATACATATGTAAATTAAATTGAAACAAGTGTCCAGCATCTGACTGAACTGCAAATCTAAAACTTACTTTCCAAATTATGTAACAACAACATCAACAACAACAAAAAAGTGTGTTGACTGGCAGTTTTGCCTCTACAAGCTAGGTTCTAAACTGACTTTAACATTTGTTTAAATGTACCAACTGACAGTTTCATGGACTTAATACTAGGTCTCAAATTGCAGTTATACCTGAGGACCTCACTAAAATTAAACATGACATCCCTTATAACCTTAATAAAGTAATTACATATGAAACAAGGAAAAAATAGATATGCCTCACTTTAACTGTAGCCTTGGCTATATTACCACAGTTATAGTACCCATTGCCCTAAAATATTCCATTAGACACTCGGAGACATAAGTAGTAAGTTAAAATTAAATTATCTTTGTCACTTACAAGCTGGTTTGACAAAATGAGAACCTGCGGAACCCTAGTTATAATTGTTAAATATGGCTCTAGGTAAGTTAAAACAAGGTTTTCAAGGATTAAAACTTATTAGGTAAGATCTAATAATGAATGGTGATTATCCCCACTGCCTCTCCATTTGACAGCCCAATTTGCCTGCTCTTAAGCCTGGAAAAAATATATGGCACCTCATGGTGAATTATCCATTAAGATACTCCCACCATTCCCTGGTTGGATCCCCAACTCTCTACCACCCTGTGTCAGCTCTAATTGCCCTAGAACCAGCTGCCACAGCCAAGGACAGGCCCGATGCTTTGGAGCTTTTGATGCCAAATGATTCAGATCAGCCAGTCTGCAGGACCCCCACCCCTTTTGCCACACTTAAGCTGGCCCTACAGCTCCAGCTTGTGTTATCGTGTCCCCAGGTGCAGCCTCAGGGAGCTGTAAGTTACAAAAATTTTGCTCTTCTTCTGAGTGTGAGCATGTTGTCTTCACCAACAAACCTTTAAGTTTTACAAAACCCTGGGTATAACAAATGCTTTCTGACTTGGGAAAGGATGGGAAGCACTGGGTCTGGGGAGGTGCTGTGGAGCTTTACAGAGCCCAGGACCCGACCAAAATCTGGGTCTTGAGAAAGGAAGAAGCCAAGATAGGGGTGGAAATGAATAGGCTGCCTCCAAGATCAGCCACAGAAGACTACCTTTGCTGCCAGGCCACCTCTGTCCCCTGCAAGTCCTGTGACAGACTCCATGACAGCCAAGAAAGACTGATCACTCATTCACTCACACATTCACTCACCCACTCACTCACTTACAGACTCAATCATTTGCTTGTTTATCAAACATGTGTGCTGTAGCCAGGGTGTCCAAACTGCGGCCCAAGGGCCACATGCAGCCAGGATGGCTGCGAATGTGGCCCAACACAAAACTGTAAATTTACTTAAAACAGTATGAGATTTGTGTGTGTGTGATTACGTGTCGCAATGTATTTAATGTGTGGCCCAAGACAACTCTTCTTCTTCCACTGTGGCCCAGAGATGCCAGAAGGTTGGACTCCCCTGCCTAAGCCTTAAGGATAGAAAAATGGAATAAGAAAGAATTCGTGTAGGCAAAACGCTGGGTGAGTAGAAGAGCTGCCCTGAGGGTGCAAGAAGGGGAAGTGGAGGGGGCCACACAGGTGCGGGCCTGGCCTTGAGATACATCAGGTGTAGAAGAGAGTGGAAGGCAGGTACACAGAGCAGAGAAGAGCAAGGAAGGTGCCTGCCACTGTGCGGAAGACCTGTGAGCGTAACATAAGCCATTGGTTCTAAGACAAAATGAGTGTGCGGTGAGGGGATTCCAACCAACCTCTGGAGGAGAGGATGTGTGCATCAAACAGAGAATAAGATAAGGTTGGTCAGAGACTTAAGAAAATGATGCAGGTCTGTCCCACCATGTGCCATCGTAGGCATGAGCCCCATGCAGCTCAATAAGGAGCCCTTGTACAGGTTTTTGGCCGAGGTCAAAAACTGCCTCCTGTCTCAATATGACCCAGAAGGAGGCAGAACTTTGCAGCTAGATCAAGGGACTCATGGGCCTTTCTATTGGCCCTGACTTCCAGAAGAGTCTGAAGGTTGAAATAATCCCATGCACACTCATGAATAAGCTACAGCTGGGATCCTTCCCCAAGATCAACTGCTTCATGCAAAATTGGCACCAGCTAGAAAACCTCTCCAACTTCACCAAGGCCATGATTGGCTACAGCTTGAACTCTGCAGGCCTGTTCAAGGCCAAAGACCTGTTTGAGAGTGGAAACATGACACATGTGCTGGTGTCTCTTCTGGCTCTGGCAGGGAAGGTTAAGACAAAGGGGCCACGGCCTAGTGTGGACATCAGCATCAAGCACTCAGAGAAGCAGGAGCGGAACTTCGGTGACACCACTATGAAGGCAGACCAGTGTGTTATTGGGTTTCAGATGTGCTCCAAGAAGTGTGCCAGCCCGGTGGGCATGACAGCCCCCAGGACCCAGTGGCACATCTCTGACACTAAGCTGGGGACCAACAAGTGTGACAACTCATCCATGTCTCTGCAGATGGGCTATATGCAGGACATCAGCCAGAGTGGCCAGGTCTTTGGCCTGGGCTGGCATATATGACCCCAGTACTGCCCACAAGGCCCAGTGGCCTAAGGGGCTCCAAGGTCAGCAGGCAACTGCCCAAGAACAGGGAAGACCTGGAGTAACCCCCTACTACCAAGAGAAGGCAGACTACTGAGGCCCCTCTTGTAAGGTATTTCCCCATATCATCACACCATCTGGGATTTTGAGTTTTTCCTGTGTTTTCATCTTTTTTTCCCATGTATTCAAGTGCTTCCTACTGAAGGTCTGCAAAGACCAGATCCAAATGTGTGTGGGGTAGAGGTCCACATCCAAGTCACAAATTTCCCAGCAGGCTTTGGGGGAAAGAAGAAACCTGTGCAGGGAGGGAAACTGACCCCAAATGGTTTCCAGTAGCTTCTGCTCCTCTTCTCTTCTTTTCTGCTGATCAGTTTGTGTTTTTTGTATCCACAGAAGTTTCAGGCACTTTTAACAAAAGTAATTTTTTTTTTTCAGGGGAACAGGGTGGTATTGATGAAAGGGAGTGTTGGGAAGGAAGTCCCCTGGGAGAGGGCCAGGCCACAGTCCCCAAGTATTTTAGGCATCGTAAGAGATTGGATTTCCCCAGGACCCTCCCAGTGGCCCAGTGAGGAAACTGAGGCCCAGACAGGACAATGGAGTTTTGAGTGGCTGAGGCAAAGCCAGGCCCCCCTTTCCATATTCGTCCCCTCCCCCCAGCCAAGCACTGCAAAGGGACCTCTACTGGAGGCCCTCCCTGGGGCCAGCCCCACCCAGGATCCCTGGGAACAAGAGATAATGCGAAATACCAACTTGGACCAAAGGCAATAAAAATCTCTTTTTAGGTAGGAAAGAAACAAAGGAAGGAAGAAAGGAAGCAAGGCGAGGCAGCCTCTTGAGCAGCGCAGATCCTAAGGCCTATTTCAGACAATTTAGAATGTGATGTCCTGACCTGCTCAGACCCAGCATCGCCATCCCAGAACCCCACAGTGGGCATTTGCTCAGAGGGACCTCAGTATTGAGGGCTAAGTGCAGGCTAATTCTTGTATGTAGAAACATAAGGACCAGCCATGCTTTAGAAATTAGGCTGATTTCCAGTTTCTCAAAAGATGTCACACAGTCAACAGCTATTGACTGAGGACCTTCTCGGTGCCAGCATTATTCCTGGCATACAGAGCGAGGCAGGCTTTCCAGATGGCCAGCATTCACCCAGCAAGTAAACACCGGGCAACTTTCAGTTAAGAAGGTTCCATGAGAAATGATCAAGAGGACATAAGAAGCGACAGAGCGAAAAAGGGGCTTCTGGTGAGGGCTTGTCAGGGAAGGTCACTCTAGGAGACCATGTGTTCAGTCCTTCAGGAAGAAGTGTTCTGAGTGGAGGGAACAGAGAGCACAGAGGCCCTGGCCTCTGTCTGAAGGGCGGAGTGGAGGACTGAAAGACCCTGAACTGCGGGAACGACCGAGCTGGGGCTGGCTGGGTCTGGGTAGGTCTGGGTAGGTCTGGGTGGGTCTGGGTGGGCCGTGCTGTCCCAAGGCAACCAAGACTCAACTACAAGAGGAGCATGTTCTCAGCCCACACAAAGGACGCACCTCAAGTACCCAGCTGTGGGGAGAGGGGAGGCTGTGCCTCTGGACCTTATAGGACACCTGCTACATTAAGCTATGCTACCAAGACACCAAGTCAAAGCAGCTCTACTTGATACAGTGCTGTAGGCACAGGCCTGAAGTACCCTCAGCCTGGCTACCAAAACGCCTCCAGACCAGCAAGAAGGCTACACAGAGGCCATGGCCAAGGCAGCCTCGGGCTTGGACCAGGGAGGGCGGTGGAGGGAGAGGGAGAAAATGGACAGATGGGTGACAAGTTTTGGAGACTCCACAGGCTTTGGTGTAAAGCTAATGAGAAGGAAATCAAGCTGCTGAATGGGCGTCCGCAGGCCCATGGATTGAAAGGAAGAGGAGCCTCCTGGCTTAATTCTCAGCTCTGTTTTCTAGAATCCCACCCCCCAACTCCCTTCCCACCATCCTTCCTGGCATTAGTCCTGCCTGCCCCAGGCTCTGCTCCTGCTGTTCCAGGGCAAGGCTCTCTTCTTTGTGCTAGGACTCTGTTGGTCAGGTCACAGCCAGGAAAACAAACCCATGTGATTGTTTTTCTCTGCTGGAAGCCTTAGCAGACAGAACCCAGAACTGGGAGCTAAGACCTGCCTTTCCTTCTGGCCCCACCTTGGGGACTTCTGAGCCAAGGGCTTCAAGGTTTTGTGGCCAATGTTTTGTATTGATCTCAGCCTGTTAATAACAAGTGTTGTGGCTGGACCAGCCCTTGTGTTTCTTATTACAGTTGCCAGACACCCTTCAGCAATAGCCATCAGGAAACTTTGAAAGCTACAGGTTTTTTACTTACAAAACCTGGGATTACCTAGCACACTTAGGGCCATCCAATGAGGTCACAGGGTGACAGAGGCCTGGCATTCTGCTTTTATGGGGCTGTAGGGTGGGCACTTAGAGTTTCTTGGGCTCACTCTTAATTGGTAAATTTAAAACATAAGAGCACTTACTGCAAGGTGTCTCAAGGGGGTGGCAATCGCCACCACAATTAACAGTGATTATAAAGGAGGACTTTGGAGAAAACAAAAAGATTGCTAAAGTAACCCATCTTGCAGGATGACATTGAAGACTTGTCTATTGATCTAAGATAGTTATTTTGTAAGACTTCCTAGTGTACAACACAACTGTGTCCAACTGTATATAGTGATAAATAGTTTTCTTTTTTACTTTGTCTTTTACTATCTATATTATGATGCAATGCATTGTAGATTTGTGTTTATACAAATTTTATTTTTACGGTTTCATGTAAACAATAAAATAAATAAATAAATGCTCAAATAAATGCTTCCTTTAAAAAAAGAAGATTTTATTTATTTATTTTTAGCAATAGGAGAAGAAAGAGAGAAAGAAAAGGAGAGAAACATCGATGCGTGGTTGCCTCTTGTGTGCTTCCTACTGGGGACCTAGCCTGCAACCCAGGCATGTGCCCTGACTGGGAATAGAACCAGTGACCCTTCTGTTCATGGCCTGGCACTCAGTCCACTGAGCCACACCAGCCAGGGCAAATAAATGCTTCCTTATTTGAAAAGAAATAAAACATAAGAGCAGGAATTTAGGAATTCCAGTCAAGATGGCAGCATAAGCAGGCATAGCATGCCTCATACACAACCACATCAAAATTACAACTAAAATATAAACAATTGTCACTCAGAACTGGCAGAAATCATGTTGAATGGAAGTCTGACAACTATGCAATTAAAGAAACCATATCCACCCAGACTGGTAGGAGGGGCGCAGATGTGAAATGGTCTGGTCCCTCACCCACATATGATGGATAAAAATTCAGGAGGCATATCTCAGGAATGAGAAGTCACAACCTCACACCAGGCCCCCCAGCCCAGGGCTCTAGTGCCAGGAAAATAAGTCCCCACAACTTCTGGCTGCAAACACCAGTGGGAATGAGTAGGTGGAAGAAACTGCTGGAACCCCAAGCAGTTCCTCTTAAAGAACCCACACATGGACTCACCTACTCAGTCTCACTCCCTCTAAGCTCTAGCATTGGGATTGCAGCTTGAAAGGCATCAGTGGTATATAGGGAAAAACTGAAATGTCTGACATCAAGGTGAGCAGAGGCCATTGTCCTTTTTCTAAACCCTCCACCCACAAGGCTGGCAAGCCAGTGCCATATCCAAGACTCTATCAAACTAGCTAACACCTTTTGACCTGCCTTGGAGATCCCCAGAGACTGCTCCCCACTGAACTTACTGTCCCACTCAAGCTGCTTTTCTGTATGAATGGCTGGCATTGGCTCATTCTTCACAGCTTCCTAAATCCTCTCAAACAAGCAACAGGTAGCCTCTGTGAACCCCATGCACAGCAGTAGCAGCAGCCAGCATAACTATGCAGCTTGGCTTTGCCTGGGAATCTCCAGGCTCAGCACAAGTAGCAGCTATCTCAGATTTCTTTATAGCTCATGCAGGGTGGTTCTGGGCAAAACACAGATGGGCACTGACCTTGGCCTGCACCACCGGGGAGACCCCAGGGTCAGCACACCCAGTGGACAGCTACAGTCCATGTCAGAGCACCACCGCCCTGTCCCGCACAGCTCATCTTACATGGAGGGTAGACGCGGGTGGTCAGTGGTCATGGCCAGTCCTTGCAGCTGACTTTTCTGGGTAAATCCCTCTGATTGATCTGCCAACAGCAACCAAGGCTCAGCTACAAGAGGATGGTATTCTCAGCCCGCACAAAGGACGCACCTCAAGTACCCAGCTTGGGGGAAAGGGGAGGCTGTGCCACTGGACCTTGTAGGACACCTGCTACATTAAGCTATGCCACCAAGACACCGAGTCAAAGCAGCTCTACCTGATACATAGAAGCAAACACAGGGAGGCTGCCAAAATGAGCATAAAAAGAAACAGGGCCCAAATGAAAGAACAGATCAAAACTCCAGAAAAAGAACTAAACAAAATGATGATAAGCCATCTATCGGATGCAGAGTTCAAAACACCAGTTATAAAGATGGTCAAGGAACTTAATGAGGACCTCATCTTTTATGCTATCTGGAGCATTAAAAAGATCAGGTTAGAAGCAAAGGACACACTAATAGAAATAAAGAACAATTTACGGCGAAACAACGGCACAGTGGATGAAGCCGAGAATCAAATCAATGATTTGAAACATGAGGAAGCACAAAACAACCAATCAGAACAACAAGAAGAAAAAGTAAAATAAAGAAAGTGTAAGCAGCCTCTGGGACAACTTCAAGAGGTCCAACATTCGCATCATTAGGGTTCCAGAAGGAGAAGAGAAAGAGCAAGAAATTGGAAATCTGTTTGGAAAAAACAGTGAAGAAAGTGTCCCTCATTTGGTGAAGGAAATAGACGTGCAAGTCCAGGAAGCACAGAGAGTCCCAAACAAGATGGAGGCAAAGAGATCCGCTCCAAGACACATTGCAATTAAAATTCCAAAGGTTAGAGACAAGGAAAGACTCTCAAAAG